GCCGGTACAAATGGTATCAAAGCCAGACACCGGGCAATGTGCCAACAAGGAGGCTGAGCCCCGAAGGGGGTGGACATAAGGCGATGTGCCAGCAAGGACGCTAGGCCCCAAAAGGGGTGGATTTAGTGGGGGTCCCACTGGAGAAAGGAACGAATGCCAGCGAGGACGCTGGGCCCCGAAGGGAGGTGGATTGTGAGATACTACATCAGTTGGAGAGAAGAACGGAACACCCTTTATAAGAGTGTGGAAACCACTCCCTAGCAGACGCATTTTAAAAACCTTGAGGAGAAGCTCGAAAGAGAAAGCCCAAAGCGAACAATATCTGCTAGTGGTGGGCTTGGGCTGATGTATAAAGTTAGTGGTAGATTATTGACATTTCCATAACTGGAGACTAGATGAACTGTACAACTAGAATTTTTTAGTTTTAGTAGAGTAATGGCATCCTTGTTATATGAAGGAGAAAATTTAGACAAGTATATGCATTTACGAAAGGATGGATGGAGAGTACAAACTTCGCCAGCGACAATATCAAACAAACTGGAGCGCCTCTTTCGTCTTGAGACATTGGTCTGCCTTATGAAATACTTTTGGGCATGGCTGGCCACTTGTGTCGGTGTCCTAGATACAACATAATTACGTGCTATCCCACGCCAGTCTCCTTTTCCAAGTTTCTGTAATCCCATTAAAAACATCCTATGCTCCTCCTCAGTCCATGGAACACCTGTGCATTACCAAACACACATATAAACTAATAAAAGATCAATTGATTCTCACAAAATGATCAAAGGTTAATTGTACAGAATTCAAATACGCTCCTCGATTCCTATTAGGGTGTAATCGCAAGAACATAACCTGGCCTTGTTCATTAACATGGAATAGAAATGTCACAAAAACCTATTTTAGGTAGTGAACTTCGAAAATATAGAAAATAGAAAATATGTCTTGTAGAATCCATTTTGGAAAAAAAATAGATATGTAACCGTCCAAAGCCCACCGTTAGCAGATATTGTCCTCTTTGGGCTTTCCCTCAAAGTTTTTAAAATGCGTCTGCTAGGGAGAGGTTTCCAGGGTGTTTCGTTCTCCACCTCAACCAATGTGGGATCTCACAAGATATATATATAGACAAAAACAGAAACTAGAGATAGAGAAGATGCTTATACACAAAGGAAGAAGGCTAAGATAGATAGAGGCAATGTTTAACAAGCCAATCAATAGGATATTCTATTTTCAACCCCACTCTCTGTTTATGAACATGAAACTCGATGGAAAAAGAAAAGATCAGAAAATATGTTTGCAAGAAATGAAATAAATGGATTGGTGTTTTTTGAAAATCATTTCCGAAAACAGGGTGTCACATGAGTTTAGCAATTTCACAATAGCTAATGTTTCCAAAAGCATAAAAAGGAAAACAAATTAGGTACCAAACAATTATCAATCAAATTTATCCTCTAACAAGGAAACAATACTTTTCTTAGAACACATCCATTTTTTTAAATTCTCTACTAAGAATCCTTCCATTTATCCAAAGTATAACTACATAAGATTTATACCGATCACAGAGGAAAGAGCAACAGTAGTCGATCACCAAAAAATTCCATGAATCAAAAGGATAAGCATGCAAAGTCCAGCAATCACCAAGATTCAAAAAATCAAACCAGAACAGAATAAATAATTCAAATTAAAGCGTAAACTCCCAAACCTTTCTTCCTCTCACGGCAACTCGAAGAAGAGCCAGGAACGAAATCCTCCGACGCATAGCCGTCGGCAGCAACGCCATGCTCGGGAGTCTCGCCTGGAGAAGCCGGATTGTTCGACCCGCCTTGCAGAGTACCCGATCCGGATCCGGCATAGTGGCTAAGATTCCCCATACTAGCACTCTTCCGGATAGAACCATCAGTCAATCGGACTCCAAAGAGCTTCACGCCGCGATTCGGACAAGTCCGAGAGTTGTGCCCATTGTGGCTGCAATGCGAGCACCGCCGCGTCATCGTTCCGCCGCCGCTTTCAGAAATCGAACTCAATTTCAACTAGATCAGAGGATCCGAGTTGCATGATCCGATCCAAAACCAGAAATTAGGGTTAGATTTCGTTCTTCACAGAGCAGATTTTGAGATTTTGATTTTTGGATGTTTTTTTTTTTTCCTTTTTTTTTTTTTTTTTTTTCTACCTCAGCTTTCGCAGGTGGGAGAGAAATAGAGAAGACCGACTAAATCCAACACTATCTATTTATCAGCCCTGGATAAATGTGAAATAATCCCCTGCTTCGAGTATAATTTCTTACTGTGTTTTCTTAATCTCAGCCGTTCATTGTTTTTCAAACTTTATGTTCTCATGGATCAACGGTTATTATTATTTCATACAACGTTGCACCGATTCGAATATGGAATCTCTGTCTATCAGTATTTAATATTTATTATTTATGACTTATAATTTAAAGGCTAAATTACAATAAATAATTTTTTTTTTTTTTTAACTCTTTCAACATGTTCAAAAATCGAGAGTCGGGCTTTCTTTCTTTGTTAACTCGTCGAGTTTTTAAGCTGCCTAATTTTTCAACATGTTCAAAAATCGAGAGTCGCCCAAGAACTAGATAACTAGAGAAACCTTGCTTTTCGGAAGATAATAGGTCGATCAAATAAAATCAAACACAACTTACTCTCCCTCTGCTTTGAAATTGTGTTATTTTGTATTAGGGAGCTCCATCAAGAGATTATTTCTCTTAATTCATAGTTAAACGTGTTTTACTTAAGCAATTCTATGTTGGATGGCCTCGTAAGAACTTTCTCAGAATGCATGTGAGTGAGGATAAAGCATATTGGAAATACTCGTGTTGGTTTAAGGGATAGTTTTCACTCTTAAGAAACGAGAAGTAGGTAACATGACCATGTCGTAAGAGAATGTTTGAGTCACTAGATGCCAAAATTCGAATTTTGAATCCTAATTTAAACGCAAGAAGTAGGTAACGTGACCATGTCGCAGGAGAATGTCGGGGTCCACCAGGTGCCAAATCTGGATTTTGAATTCTAATCTTAACGTGAGGAGTAGGTAACATGACTATGTCGCAGAAGAATGTCGGTGCCATCAAGTGCCAAATCCGAATTCTGAAACCTAATTTGAAAGCAAGGAGTAGATAACATGACCATGTCGTAAGAGAATGTCGGGGCCATCAAGTATCAAATCTAAATTTTGAATTCTAATTTGAAAGTACGAGTAGGTTGGTGTAGGTAACGATACTATGTCGCACGAAAATGTCGGGCCATCAAATGTCAAATCTGGATTCTAAATCTTAATCTAAAAGCGAGAAGTATCGCAGTAGAATCTCAGAACTATCATGTACCAAATCCAGATTTCGAATCCTAATCTCAAATTTTCTTTTTTTCTTTTTTAAAAAAAAACTATTTTTATTTACAAAATGTTAAATTACAAGTTTGTATCTGTTTTAAACAAAAATTAATATTTCCTCTCAATTTTAATTTTGTATCTAATAGATTTGTACATTTTAGATTATGTCAAATATGCCCTTCATCCATCGGACATATTTTAAATTTTATAAATTTAATAAAGGTTTCATTTAATTTAATTTTTTTAAAAGAAATGAATATATTAAAAGTAATTAAATAAAAAAAATAGAAAGGTCAATATTTTAATAATTTTCTAAATAAGTTTTATGCATATTAGGCTAGAAAATAGAAGTATATCAGACGTTTTTAAAGTATTATAATATTTTTAATACAAATATAAAAATTTATGGATTAATTATTTATAATAATATCGACTAAAATATTATAATAATGTAATATTCCAATCTTATTGGGTAAGGCCATTGCCACGTGAAAGAAAAAGCTGACTTTTAAGCCATTACGTAATTAAATTGGATAAAATAATAGAGCAAGTCAAGCGAGGGGATGGATAGACAACTTGACTAGGACACGTGGACGATCAGATGTTAGTCAACGGTGGCAATAGTCAAAAGGTCAAAAATTGGGGTACTACAAATCTGAGATCTTTGTGGATTGCGCCACGTGGAATATGCCCAGTGGACACGTGTTGGGACATGTTCTGTTGGACTTAACTTTTTGTGCACACCATCCTCACTTCTTTTAATTAAAAAATAACTTATTTTATTTATTGTAAATAATATTATTTTTCACAATTGCATTTTCAAATTTATTTTATTTGGATCACTAAAATTTTAAATCAAATATATATTTATTGTTGGATATTATTTATTTGTGACCTTATTTAGTTGATGTATTTTTGTTTTAGGCTTCTCCAAAAGGCCTCGTACTAATAGACATAATATTTCTCGCTTATAAACACAAGATCATTTCTTAAATTAGCAAACATTGGACTCTATCCCAATAATCCTTAACAATCCTCCCCTCGAACAACCTCCCCTTAATCAAGACTCGACTCTTTTTTTGAAGTCTTCGAACAAAGCATTTGAGGATTCTATTGACGTGGCTAAGTTTAGAGCATGACTCTAATACCAGATTGTGATGTCGCACATTGGTTGGGAATGAGAACAAAACACTATTTATAAGGGTGTGGAAACCTTCCCTAGCAGACGCATTTTAAAGCCTTTAGGGGATACCCAAAGAGGACAATATCATACTATTGTGAAGATTCGTGATTCCTAACATAGTATCACAGCTAGACACCGGATGATGTGTTAGCCTTCTCGCTATTCCCTGAAGGGGGATAGACACGAGGCAGTGTGCTAGTAAGGACACTGGACCCCAAAGAGAGGTGGATTTGGTGGTGGTCCCACATTGATTGGAACGAGTGTTAGCGAGGACACTAGGTCACGAAGGGGGATGGACTGTGATGTCCCATATTGGTTGAGGATGAGAACAAAACACTATTTATAAAATGTGTAGAAACCTTACCTTAGAATACGCGTTTTAAAGCTTCGAGGGGAAGTCCAAAATGGAAAGTCTCGGTAATTTATTTATTTATTTTTAGTTGAAAGCCTTATTTAATTTTAAATAAATTTTAAATTATTTAAAAGGGGGAAAAATGAATTGAGTCACCTATCCCATCTTATCCAAAGGTACAGACATCTTAACTTTTGAAAACGCTTTATGAAAAGTTTATCCATTTCTTATTTTATTTTAATTTTTATCTCTATATTAATGGGCCCCACAAGAGATGATCAGACGGCAAAGAAAATAGATAACGTGGGTCCCACTCATCTGGCCATCCACGTGGCGGCTCACGTTCTTTAGATCTGGAATGGATTAAAATTAAATTAATCAAAACAGAACCTTAATACTTTCACTTTTAATAATTTTCATAATTTTAATCTCTATCATTAACGTCATTGTCAAGGCAGTAACATGATAACACATTCACTAGATAAATTTTGACAAGGTTATCAGATTAATTAGCATACATATCGGGTCTTTATCCATTAGTGATGATGTAAATGAACGTCTTTTTAAGCTTCTTGATCTAAATTTGATCTAGAAACATAGAAGGGGGAGGAGTGAATCTTACATTTTCTAAGCAAATCCGTCTTTATAAGCCAACCTCACACGTTCTTTCAAGTAGTCCATACTGGAAATGGGAGGATATCTGCATGCACATTCAATAATCTTGAAGACTTTAAGCAATTAAATTTGTAGTTGTTTCGGAGATCATGATAAGAAAAAATTTCAAATAATCTATGAATATCGAGACATTTTTGGGTTCGATCCAGCAAGTAATCCATAAGCATCATTAAAAACATAAGCATATACCAGTAAAATATCTCTATTCTTTTTTCTATTAGCTTTTGTTTTTGCTAACTCTAAATCATGATGATCAATGTTCTTCCGCGTATTTCTACTCGTAAAACCACCAATAAAACTTGTAACTAGCAATAGATGCATAAAGTCAGAGAAGCATGGAGATGGTCCAAGGATTGTGTTCAAACTAAACGACATTAGAATTCATTCCAGATTGATCTTGGCTTTTCTATAAGAACATTTTTGTAACAACTCTAGCCCACCGCTAACAAATATGGTCATCTTTGGGCTTTTCCTTTCGGACTTCCCCCTCAAGGTTCTTAAAATGTATCTACTAAGTAGAGGTTTCCACACTCTTGTAAAGAATATTTCATTCCCTTCTCCAACCAACGTGAGATCTCACAATCTACTACCCTCGAGGCCCAGCGTCTTTGCTAGTACTCGTTTCTCTTTCCAATCGATGTGAGATCTTATAATTTTAGTTTTTAAGGTTATATTCAGTTGAATTGAAGTGGTAAAACGACTCGAGTAGCCAAAAAATTGGAGAAAGAGCATTGTAATTCTTCTTAGAACACAACTTCATACGATTAGTTCCGTAGAACAGTCCTATAAGATTATTATTGGATCAAATTCACTATGGGAACGGAGAGATTCTGGGGATAATATTATAAAAGTAAGGAATGTCAATACCTCGGGGGAGATGATTCGCTACAACAACTTGGAAGACATTCCACGACACATTCGTCACTCGGATGTAAGAAGAAAGCAACCTGCAAAATGGAGAGAGATATTTGAACTTCAAAAAATCACCATTGACAAGAATAACACAAAAAGTGAAATTGCATGTCCGTTGAGAAGAATAACGAAACATTCTTTATAAGGGTGTGAAAACCTCTCCGTAGGCAAATGCGTTTTGAAAAGCCCAAAAGGGAAAGCCCAAAGAAGATAATATCGGCTAGCGGTGGGATTGGGCCGTTACAAAAAGCTTCTTCGAAATAGGGTTCAAATCATAGTTTCTTGGATAGGCTTATTGGCAGAAAATTTTGAATTCATGCTCTAGTATCAGAAAGCAAACGAGTAAATAGCTAGACCTTACCGAGTAGCGTTCTTCTCCAACTGGAATCACTCGATGTAGAGTCGACCTATCGTAAATAACACAAAAACAAGCAAATAACCAACAATGGAATTTAGTTTTTTACTTTCACATGATAGAATTTATCATAACGTACAACCTCGATCCTTACCGGAACAGACAGTTCGTCCACCTTTCCATCAAGTCCCCAACATTAACAACGAATGCCCTGCAATATCAGAGAATTGCATCCATTGAATTCCAGACAGTCATGATGCTTCCCTTGTGGTGTCTTTGGAGCATCATTTTTTAACGTTCAATCGTTTTCAATTTTGAGTTTTGAACTCACTTATCTATATGAGCAACATCTTCCCAAACTTGTGGGTGATCAGACTTTTCCTTGCATATCTGTTACCATGGCAACTTGACACAAAACTTCACCGCATAATACACACAATTTTCTCTATAAAGTATGATCTCAATTGATTAAGGAGAAATACCTGAAGTCCGGGAATGCCATTGGTTACAAGGAGAGTGATCATCCCCCAATCTGAATGTGCAGAAGCACCTAATATTTCTTCATCAAGAGATCTTAAGTCACCTGAGTTCAAGATAATGAGCAGATTATCAACATGATTGCATCTCTCAACTTGAAGACGAAATGTGTGAGATCCCACCTCGGTTGGGGAGGAGAACGAAACATTTTTTTATAAGGATGTGGAAACCTCTCCCTAGTAAACGTGTTTTGAAAACTTTGAGGGGAAGCCCAAAGAGGACAATATCGGCTAGCAATAGGCTTGAGCTGGTACAAATGGTATCAGAGTCAGACACTGGGCGATGTGCCAGCAAAGACGCTGGGCCTCGAAGAGGGTTGGATTAGGAGGTCCCACATCAATTGGAGAAGGGAATGAGCGCCAGGACGTTGGGTCCCAACGGAGGGTGGATTGTGAGATCCCACGTTGGGTGGGGAGGAGGACGAAACATTCTTTATAAGGGTGTGGAAACCTCTCCCTAGAAGGCGCGTTTTTAAAACCTTGAGAGGAATCTCAAAAGGAAAAGTCCAAAGAAGACAATATATGTTAGTAGCGGGCTTAGGTCGTTAGCTGACCAAGTACATCATTAACTTATAAGGAAATGAGAATGAGGGAAGGAGAATCATTCTACCCATTTGCTATTCATATGGTTTGCAATTTTGTCGGATCCTCGCTAAGATTGAAAATCATTTCCATAGACCATTAAATTTCATCACACTTCTTTAAATTTCATCTTCATCATCTTTAAATTTTATCCTTTACAAAATTCAGCATAAATGTTTGGTTTGGGGGACAGGAAGAAAAAACGAACATATGCATTCTTTTCTCCCCTTTAGTTTCAGTAATTAAAAGTTACGTATGTCACTGAACCTGGATAGTGTAGAAGCCGAAGAAAATCTGATGGTTTACTGAAGGCACCAATTTTCTCAAAGAAATTCTCATCCAGATTCAGAGCCAATGCAAGCAAAGATATTATTTGTCTTCCAACACGCCTGTACCAGCCAAACAGAAAGCAAGACATTACAGCCAGTCCAAATTCATTTAGCCGTCCAGTGTAAACGAGATAAGAATACTTTCGAGTACAATGACCAAAACATGAATTTAAAACAACATAGTACCAATTTTATTGCACTGTAAGTACCAGTATGTATTGAAATTAATCCTGAAGGCATTTGAACTTACAGTGCTTGCTTATAGAAGGATTCCATAGTAGCTCTCCAAGAAGGCAATAGTTCTGCCATTTCCTTGCCAGAAAGAGTAATAGTTCATAAACATGAATAATCAATGATTACAAATTTCTACCATTAATAGGGTAATTCCTCACCTCCTGAAGGCCACTGATTTAAGTCATTTTCAGTTGCGTTGCCTGCCAAAGGGCCAATATAATAGCTCTCTTTTGCATCCCCTATTCACAGAAAATTCATAGATACAAAGATAAACAACTTTTATCGAACACCAAATCTTCAATAACGGTAGAGATTGTGCATTAGTTTCCAATCTGAACCATTTACAATTCAATGATGATACGAGTATTGGATATTTTTTAAGATTCTTACTCTTGTTATCAATTTTTTTGTAACGACCCAAGCCCACCGCTAGCAGATATTGTCCTCTTTGGAATTTCCCTTTCAGGCTTCCTCTCAAGGTTTTTAAAACGCACCGCTAGCAAATATTGTTCTCTTTGGGCTTTCCCTTTCGAGCTTCCCCTCAAGGTTTTTAAAACGCACCGCTAGCAAATATTGTTCTCTTTGGGCTTTCCCTTTCGAGCTTCCCCTCAAGGTTTTTAAAACGCGTCTACTAGGTAGGTTTTTTCACACCCTTTTTCCCTTTCGAGCTTCCCCTCAAGGTTTTTAAAACGCGTCTACTAGGTAGGTTTTTTCACACCCTTCCCACCGCTAGCAGATATTGTCCTCTTTGGAATTTCCCTTTCAGGCTTCCTCTCAAGGTTTTTAAAACGCACCGCTAGCAAATATTGTTCTCTTTGGGCTTTCCCTTTCGAGCTTCCCCTCAAGGTTTTTAAAACGCACCGCTAGCAAATATTGTTCTCTTTGGGCTTTCCCTTTCGAGCTTCCCCTCAAGGTTTTTAAAACGCGTCTACTAGGTAGGTTTTTTCACACCCTTTTTCCCTTTCGAGCTTCCCCTCAAGGTTTTTAAAACGCGTCTACTAGGTAGGTTTTTTCACACCCTTATAAAGAATGTTCCCCCCTCAAACCAATGTGGAATCTCATAACCAGGAGGTCTTCACACCTTTATAAGGAATGCTTCCCCCCTCGAACCAATGTGGGATCTCACAATCCACCCCCTTGTGGGCCCAACGTCATCGCTAACGCATCTGATACCATTTGTAATGGCCCAAGCCCATCACTATCAGATATTGTTCTCTTTGGACTTTCCCTTTCAGGCTTTCACTCAAGGTTTCAAAACACATCTACTAAATAGAGGTTTTCACACCTTTATAAAGAATGTTTCGTTGCCTCCTCGAACCAATGTGGGATCTCACATTTTTGTTCTTTTATCAAGTCAATCCACTCTCCCTACTAGGAAATGGTCATTTACAGTCAAACAAAACACTAAAATGTGGACTAGTATGGTCCATGGATATACCATCTTTTCACCTTTCTGTAAAACCATATGCAGTCAATCGTTTTTTCAAATATCAACGATTGTCTGGGTCAGCTTGCGCACACCTCATCTAATAGAGTTCATATAATCCGGATTGTTGCATTTTCACAGCCATCATATCTATAAACAACATTAACAAAAGTGTCTCAATCTAGAAGTTATAGCTATTCTAATCACTTTAACCTTATAGTTAGTTTACTTACTAATTGGTTTTCTTAGACCATTTCATACAACATTCAGAAGCTCGGAGCAACAGCCCGGCAGAACTACCATTTACACAGCTCTCACAGTTCAAATTTCTCCCAAATTTCACAAGATAAACAGACGAGATTCATAAATTTCAAATCAAAATAGAACAAAAACCTATATCAGTCGAGGCGGTGGGATCGAGCTTCTCGGCATAAAGAGCGGTGTATCCCCTATGTTCCTTCCGAGCAAGTTTCATCTTCTCCTCAATAGGAAGAGAAAAGAACTTCCTACTTTCGTCAAACACTCTCTCGAGCAATTCGTCTTCAACGCCATGGTTGATCAAGTAAAAGAATCCGTAATCCAAGCATGCCTGTGCGTAATTTCCAATCCAAGAAAACAGATTAATATCAGAATCTGTTAGGGAAAACGATGGAGAGAGTTGATTTGGAAATCATACGACGAACCTCATGGATTGAGAGAGCAACAGAGGCGCGGTCTTGAGAGGAGAGGTCGATGATTGGGAGTTGCAGAACAGACGCCATTTTCGGCAGTAGAGAACCAGAACCACGGTTCTCAGTCGTCGTCTTTTGACAAAATTCTTTACTTAAATTTTAAATTTAAAAAATATATATATTAATTAAGATTTAAAAAAAAATTGGGTGAAAATTAGGGTAAAAATGTGTACGTATATAGTCACCGCCCTCGACCCCATTTAGCTAATAAGGAGAAATCGTTCTCAACTTTCTTCCTAAACTCTTACTAATAATTTCAAACGTCAATGCCTTTTTCCAATCGGTCGAGTAGCTTTACTTCTTCCCGACTCGAAACCATTCACGTTTCACTAGCTATCATTACAAATCTTTAACTTTTTTAATTTGAATTTCACGAGCCATTTTAAAAGCAGTTATTAACAAATTCTTGCACGGTTCTTCTCCCTTCGGTCCGCCCTGCTTCTCCTTTCCCCCTCTCCCCATTCTCCTTGCTTATAATCGGGGACCGCGAGGTAATTCAAAAATTTCAGTCTGTCTCGGGTTCTGTATTGTACGGTCTCATCTTTCCAGAAAGAATTGGGCTTGTGCATCCCAAATCACACTGCCCGCAAAAGGGAAAGCCCTTTATCTACCACCTTCTTTCACTGCCTCTTTAACTGTAAAAGAAGAATCAATCGAAAAAAAGCTACTGAACCCGAACCTCGGCTTCTTTCTTCTACTTATTTTACTTACACGAGGCCACGACCCCACTGTTTTGATGGAGAGAAGAAGAGCCCATGATTAGCTTTTCATAAATTTTCTAAACGAAATCTATCCCGAAGAGGTCAACATTTCAAATCGCCACTAACGCAATCCCTATTACTGATTGACAGATCTGTTTGGAAACATAGCTCTTTTATTGCGAAATTAAACCTACTATTAACATCAGCTTAGTAATCAGTCGCATCGGGTCTACTACTCAGTTGAAAGCTATGAAACGAGTCTCGGTAGTTCAAAACTGGAATTGGCCCAATATCGAAAAGTGGGAAGATTAGGGTAGGCCCATTGGGCCTTGGAAAGATGGTGGGCGGCCTAGAGGCCCAAATCCATTCACACGATCTGTTGGAGAGCACGTGCGGTTAGAAAGATAAATTTAAGAGAGAGAAAAACATGTGGTGTCAATTAGAATAGAATCTTCATATAATAATGCAAGTAGACCACGTGTATATTTCATGTTTTTTTTTTTTTAATGAAACAAAAAATTAATAATTCAAATTTTCTTTCCTTATTTTGCTTCCTTCTATCATGGTTTTGATTTGCTTGTCTTTACATTTAAGGTAATACTTCTCGTGTTCGTTCGATCGTTTTTATATAATTTTATCTCGTTATTCTAAATTAGATGTCAAATCTCCATCACTATCTGTATCCTCGTTCGATATCGTCAGATTAATTGATTAGAAGTATATACGAGTTAGGTTAGAGATCTTTTTTGGATCTACCTAAAATTTTGATTGGTTGGGTTGGTGACCCGAGCAACCCAAGTACAATTCACAACTTAATTCAACTCAACCTACTATTTTTCGGGTTGAACTAGGTTGGGTTGTCGGGTTTTTTTTAATAACTAAAAATCTTATAAAACTGAAATATCAAATATTCACAAGTCACACCGCTTCATCAACATTGGTTACAAAGATCAAATATTCGTAATAATCTTAAAAGTAGAGTAGGGAAGTTGTGTTGTAACCTTATTTTTAGGCCCAAAGAAATGTCAAATTGCATACTAACTTGAATTGACCCAAACCTAGACCGGAAAAAAAATCTAGCTCAAGCTAACCTTTATGGTTTGGGTTGAGTCATTCGGGATGGTCAAGTTCTTAGGTCATGAATACTGCAATGATTGATATATTGAGACCAACTTAATATTAAAGAGAAATGATGGAATATTGTAACAGCTTAAACTCATTGTATTGTTCTCTTTGGGCTTCCCCTTGTGGGACCTCTTAAGGTTTTAAAACGCGTCTACTATGAATAGGTTTCCACACCCTTATAATGAATGTTTCGCTCCCCGTTCAACCGACGTGGGATCTCACAGTCCACCTTGTTAAGGGCACAGTGCCCTCGCTTGCACACTGCCAGGTGTCTAGCTCTGATACCATTTGTAATAGTCTAAGTCTACCATTAGCAAATATTATCATATTTGGGTTTTTTATTTTAGGCTTCCCCTTAATGTTTTTAAACGTGTTCAGTAGGGAGAAGTTTTCACACCTTTATAAGGAATGCTTCGTTCCCCTCTACAACCAGTGTGAGATCTCATAATCCCCACTGCCTTAGGGGTCCAGTGTCCTCGGTAACACACTGCCCGATGTCTGATTTTGATACCATTTGTAACAGTCTAACCCCACCGCTAACAAATACCCAATGTGAGATCTCACAAATATAATCATATTAATAGCAGGAGATTCCGTTAATATGCATGTTGTTTCATTTGCTCGTCTTTCTCTATTTTTCCGAAAAGTAGGTACTTAAAAAAATTATTTAGTTAGAAAGCCAACCTCCTAATAATTTAAAACACACATGAAATAATCTTTCTAGGAACTTTAAAAAAATGAATGAATATCTTATGATGGAGTATGATTGGGAAAAAATGAAATCATTAGAAGCAATGATATGATTATAAATATTAACATTATAATTAAATATTTTTTACTTGTATTTTTCTCCAAATTGTCCCTTTTTATAATATTATTTATTAATTAATAACTCTTTATTAAAAGTTGGAGCATGCTATTATTTATGCACTTTCATTCTTGATTTACATTAAATAAATAAATAAATAAATAAAAAAGTCCACCAACCAAACATGCCCACCAGACAAAATCCTAAAAAATCATACTTTTTTGTCAGGAGTTACCGAAATTGCCCTTGTGTAATCATATTGTTAATGATTATTATATTGCGTTGGCATGGGCTTATATGTCTTTTGGCTTTTTTTTTAATAAAAGAAATTTTATTTTTGGATCTTTGGTACGACGCACGTGTAGTCCAACTCAACAACGACAGCTTTTTAATTTTAATTTTTTTAATTAATTTTTTATTAACGAAACGATTCGTTTTTGACGGGGTGAATCTCAGAATCACATGGTGACCAGCTCAGCCGGTCACATGGTTTCTGATACGTGGGGACCATGGGTGCTTCTTGGCAAGGGGGAGACGCACGTGTGGAGAGAGAGAGATGGACGGTGGAGGGGAGTTGGATTGGACGGCTATTAATGTAGCCGTACGAAACGAGAACTGGCTATTCCGGTAGAAGGGGGGAGAGGGGTATGATTGGGAAAACGGTACAAAGAATTATGGAGCAAATGATTTTTTATTTTTATTTTTTTATTTTTTTAAATTTTATTGGGTGTTTGACCGTTGACCGGATCTGGCGGAAGAGGGAGTTACTTTGACCAAAACTGAACGTGCGGGTTAGACACATTACACGTGTGATGTGCTGTCCGTTTTGTCCCACGTGGGGCCCACGTGACTACTTTGTAGGATAATGGAGAAAGAGGAACCTTTTTTATGTAACTTTTTCTCTAAAATTACCAAAATATTAAACACTTAGGGAAAGAAATGTTCCAAATTGCATTGCTCAAAAAGACCATAATGCCCTTATATATAGATATGATATCTTCTCCGATCACGTTTTCTTTTTAGTTCAATAAACGTGACCGAGCGGACGAGGTTTCAAACATGACCTTAAATAATTAAAAAAAATAGTCATTTTACCAAAATGTACATTACCCATAAACCCGAGAAGATTGCCAAACAACTCATAAATATCTATCGAAGTTCTTAAAAGAAAGAAGTAAAGTTCACATGGCACGAAAGAGCACAATTAGGTTAAGGTGGAGCACGAAGAAACATGAAGATGGCAACAAAAGACGAGAGTGATTTAAAGTTGAAAAGACATTAGCGTTACCTCTTTTGAATTCGACACCTGATGACCCCAATATTCCCCTGCATCCCGTGCAACATGGTCTCAAGAATAAAGATTATTCTCACAAACCAACACGAGTTCTTACAGTATGTTTTGCTCTCCCTCACATGTATTATACGAAAAATCTCAAAATGCCACCCAACATAGAATTCTTCGAACAAAACACGCTTAATTATGAAATTCTAATGATTGAGCCACCGAAAATAAAGGTATACCTGGTTGGTATAGGTAGTAACTTTCAATTATTTAAAATATTTCTTAGTCATCATATCCTCATAACCGCTCTCATTCAGATATGATATCAGTTCATTTTTATACCTCTTATTTACTCGAGTGTCACACTGAAATCGATAAAGAAATGAGAAATGATCGTAAACGTGAAAAAAAAAAAAAGCTTTCAAATATACACGAACCATTTTAATTTTCTCGAGTATTTTATATAATTTAGCTAATAATAATTCAAAAAAATAAAATAAAATAATGGTTGGTGAGCATGACATAGACTAACCCCATTCCGAGAAGTCTAATCAAACAATGGCTATGTGTTGTTAGTATGTGTTGTCTGTGGGGCCCACATTGTGGCTAATCCTTTCAAATGATTGGACAAAGCAGGAACCAGGAAAGGGCAATTCGGGAATTTTGAGGATCAAAATTCGGTGACCAACCAACCACCACCGAGCCGTGGTCCCTAGCCTTCACGTGCCGCCTATGTGTTCATTGTGTTCTGTGGGGGAAATAGCTCGAGAGTGGGCGACCCCTTTTTCCTCTTCCAAATATTCACTTGTCGAATGCTATCCTTCCATAATATATATATATATTCTTCCTTCCGCTCAGATTATATGCTATCAAATTCGCTATTATTGTCTCTCAAACATGACTCGAAGCTCGAGCATAAGTCGACGTTGTCCGTAAAGTCCGAATTTCTAACAATTGACTTGTTTGTTGGGTTCAGAACAAGTGCTGCATAATCGCTGTCTCGTTGTTACAAGAGTTCGATCGTGACAACAAATTATTAACTTTTTCCCCCTTCACGTGATTTTTTTGGATTTTTCTCCCTATTTCTTTATTAAATTGTAACCGACTCTCAAATATAGGGACCAAAATGCTAAATATTTAAAATCTATGGACTGAAAGCTATAAATTTGAA